AGGATAGGATAGGATAGGATAGGATAGGATAGGATAGGATAGGATAGGATAGGATAGGATAGGATAGGATAGGATAGGATAGGATAGGATAGGATGGGATGGATTAGGACAGGAGAAAACAGAATAGAATAGAATAGAATAGAATAGAATAGAATAGAATAGAATAGAATAGAATAGAATAGAATAGAATAGAATAGAATAGAATATTTTCAGTTAGAAGGATCATCCAGTCCAACTTCCTGAACACTTTAGGGTTGCCCAAAATTTAATGCACATTTAAATACATTTAATTTTAATACATCTTGAGTTCTGGGACATTTCGATTCTCAAACCCACTGTGACCTGATGTGCTGGGCCACACACACCAATTTCCACGGGACTCCTCTTGTGAGTTGTTACTAACACATTGACAGGATCATGGCTTTTTACACTAATAAAATTAATTAAAGTGATAACAATACTAAGCTGCTAATACAATCATTGTCATTTTACRTTTCAAATAGTATTTACCAATGGGCAGGGAGGGAAGGAATGAGAGGAGCACCAACTATCAGAAGGMAACGTGATCTAGACATCAAAAAAAAAAGGAAAATGATTTACAAATCCGCCGCAGTCCGCACACACACACAYACACAACCCTAATTTGTTTTTCTGCATTAATAACTAAGGTATAAGAGACCAAAAATATAATAATTAAAGGTCGCCCTGAGCACCAGAGTCATTATGGTCTATGACGTATTGTTTATCTCTTTCATATGCGCGGAAAGTAGGTGTGTGTTTTGCCTAGCAACCGTCACTAATGAGGTTCACAATTAAGAAGGCTGAATCCTCTCCCCTCGTCCTCTCCTTCCCCAGAGAGCCAGARCTAGCAACATTATAGGTTCAAGTAAGCATGCTCAGCCCTGTGGTGTTAGGTTTTAGTCTAGGTCCAAATTCAGCCTCTTCTAATGAGCTATTATGATCTTAGCAAAATACGAGTATTTATTTTTGTAAGCTGCATGAAAAGAATTTGACTCTGAGCAGCAAATATCGCTTAGAAAAATAAAGGCCACTTTTCCATGCTGCGGAAAATCTACATAAATGTCACTTACCAACAGCTCCTTTTCTTGGCGATACGGTAATTGATTTGCTTTCTTTAAATGTTAAAAAACACGGTGCCAAATCCTCTTTGCCTAACATCCCATAAATGCTCAGTCGAGTAAGCTGCACCGTTGCAAATGAATGTGAAAATCTGAACGGCTGCTGCCTAAAGTCCTACTTTTAATAACAATGATGGTAAGGAAACAGCTCAGAGTAAATAAACACTCCTGGAAGAGGGCGGCAGAGAATSCTGAGGGAAGGAGGGAATGGCAGGGCCAGAGTTTCAGACACTCTGAKTTGGAAGTTGGTGAGGTTCAGGAGATCCCAGGATCCTCCTGAGCGGGGCCATGCTCTGAGAATGAGCATCACCGCCAGTTTCTGTCCCCACCAAAATCACTACACAACTTTTTGGGATTTTAATGCACCCAGAATAAGCTTCAACCTCTTAAAATGAGAACGGTGTCACCTGCAAGGAAAATTCCCCAAATCCTGGCCTGACTTACTCAGAAATCTTTTTTTTCCTTCGGGTCAGAGTATAACCCTGGATACCGAAACCTTCTTAAAAAGATGGAGTTTGTGCCCTGCTCCAAGTTCCTCGTGTCCCGGCACCTTCCACGGGCCATGGAATGCTTTGCATTAGTAACACATTCTTTAAAGAGAAGTACCCGCTAAAAACCACGATATTTACTTCTCCCATAGCCTCTCCTTGCTAACACCTCATTATCCAATCATCTAATATTCACCAGCAGTATATACACACACTCGCAGATCGTTTCCAAGTAAACTAATTCCCCCTGCTGCTCCTGTGGAAGGTTGCCATTGAATCCTTTGAGCTCACAAAAAGCACGGCAAATTATTTACAGTAGTTGAATACAACTGGAGGAAAAACAACCGTTTCACCTCCCGGCACCACGGAGGAGAACCAATTTTTAATTTTTTTTTTT